TTGCCTCTGGTAGTAAAAAGTACGGTATTTACAGTGTTTTTTGGCCAGCACCTAGCAAAAACACTGGTATTTACGGAGGTTTCACCATGTAGCAAAATGTGGTTTCTTGATCCGAAAAGAACAAAAATACTGTAAATTACAATGTTTTGAGTCTGCTCTTAGGGTGCGTGGGAGGTGTGGAGGGGGGGGGGGTACTAAAATGACTAGCAATCTCCTGAAGAATCAGGTAACGGGGCTGGCCGCCCTCCCCTTTACTTCGTAAAGTAAAACTCAAGGTAGCCCCTCTGGAGCTACCTTTCGTGATTTCTAAGTCCTCATCTTTACTGTTTAAATATACATCGACAGTGGTTAAATCCTCAATTTTATTGGGCACCACCATGCAACAGTTTCTTTGACATCAAGTGGTGATGATTCAACCCAGGCGTATGTTTTTTGGTTATCAAATTCAGATCTTCTATTAAAAAAAACTGACATCCAACTATTTTCCGTAAGCTCACATTTTGTTGATATGTATTGCTGACTGCTTTTTGAGGCATTGTTGATTCCTGTATTGCTTAAACAGCATGGTTCATTGTTCAATTTCCCAGTCTTTGTTGCTTGCTTCAACTTCACCCCCCGAATTTCTTCATATTTAGGGCTTTTGCTTTAACCAGAAAATGCCGAATGATTCCAAGTTTCCCCGTAAACAATGGGTTGAAAAACCGGTTGTTTCAGCATCTTCCACTTCAACGTACGCCAGCATTTTTCGTCACGAAAACCGTCGGCCTTCAGAGTGTACTCCTCGCTTGGGTCCCCCATTGGATTAAATCCTTGGCGTCGACATCGAGCTCCAAATCTGAGGAGATTTTGAATCTTATTTCCCATAGTTTTTGATGTATGGTCCAAATATGTTGGGATATTTTTCATTCAGAAATATGGGATATATGTTCGCCATAGTTTTTGATATTATGATCTATTGTTGGATATATATATATATATATTGTCCAAAAATCCATCAGCTCCAAGACACTTCTCTCCTCCCCCTGCAGAATGCAATCGCCACACTGCAGGAGTTTCCCCACCACGGGCACCATATAGCCTGGTGCCGTACGCCAGTGATGTGAAAAAGGAGGGGGGTCCGAAAAAACGCTTGCGAAACAACCAGAAATCAATGGGAATTTCAAGACCCTAAAATGGAGGTACCTATCATATATACTATATAAGGCCTATGTAAGGGGATATCCCCACAAAATATTGCCTTATATGGTACAGTACCTCCACTTTAGGATCCTGAAATTCCCATTGATGTCATGGAGTCTTGTGGCAGGTATTTGTTTTAATGTGGTTAAAACAATAATAAACCATCCCCCAAATCACCATAAATAGGTGGTATAAACCATTCCCAAATGGGTGGTTTATTATTGTTTTAACCACATCAATCGACTTTCTTTGCTATCTATACTCTTTTGTATGGATTTTTATGGTAGTTCAATGGGTCAAACATTCTTTCATGCACACCTAAGTACACTACTACAGTAATTCATTTCCTCGTGGTTGAGAGTTGAGATTCGTGATACACGGATTTCCCAGTTGGTCTGCCATTGCCATTTGAGGCTTGATTAAAAATAGAGAATGTTGACACATTCTCAATCAGCAATGATATCAATGATCTTCATCCCAGCTGTAGTTGATGTCACCCACTTGGAAAGTACAGGATGTACAAGTATATATGTTGATTTTAGGCTTTTTTTGGCGGGAAATCTCATTGGGCTGAAACACATCATTATCTAATCAACAAATTTATCAGCTCGCGCTTTGAGGCTAGGACTAGGACTAGGAGGTTTCCATGAATTGATCTAAGAGAAACAGGGAATGGATCTAGGTCCATAAATCCAAGAGAACTGGCTAAAGGAGCCACTCAATTTTGCCCAGAAGATACAGGGGATTCAAACATCGTGTTTTTGTATATGAATATATAAGTGAGACCTATGGCAGAGCTGTAGTACTTGGTGCTTCAGACTGCGAATCAATCGGTGGATCAGCATCCGAAACCAAAATCAGCTTGGCAAAGCCAGGTCGCAATAGTCATCTGGTCGGAACAGCATTGCCCTCACATCTTCGCTACTCCGGTTGCGAACCACGATCCTGAGCACAAAGACTTGAATGATTTCCGACATTTTCGAATGGGCCTCTCCCAGTTCAGTTTACCCACCCGATTACAATTGTAACTACAATAAACCATATTTACTCACGTTAACCGACGCTATCGGTTGGGGGCCCCGCCATTGCAGCAGTTTGCAACGGTGACGGCTGGTGTGAACTTGAACATCGCAAATTCACCCGGACAGCTACGATCCAGTCCAATCAACTCCACAATAAAACTCTATGCTTGTCCACAAAACACGTATCAAAATCATAACAATAATCAATTATTATGAGAAAGCTTCATCCTGGAGACTTCGGATGTTATTACTCTATACTGTCATGATGGTCTTTTTCCCGATCCTAATGTTGGTTGAGAAACTCTGATTGACATGGCACGGACAAGTTGGATAAGACCAGAGCTCCTTTGCTCCTTCCTAACCGCCGTCAACAATGACACTTTTCCGTAGATTTAACCATACGTTTCTGACAGTTTCAATTCCCCAAAGTTTGATGGGTCAACTGAAACCATGCTCAAGGGATACTACTATCTCACCATTATACCCCAGAAATTGGTCCTTTCCAATATACTGGCTGGTAATTTAACACTTTGCGACCTGAAAACTACTATTTTGAATAGGTAAATCATCAAACCAACTGGACCATGGTTTCCAGTTCGTGAACGGTTATACTGTAGATTCCCACCATTTTTCCACTGATTGTCTCACTCTTCCTATCATTTTCCCATGGTTTCCCCATTTTCCCCATGGATTTTCCCCTAAAAATGCCATGAAAACCTGGGATTTCCCCTGGGATTTTCCCAGCGTCTCATCGGGCGCCGCCCGGCGCGCAGCGCTGGGGCTGCCGTTCAGCGGCTGAATCTGCAGCGAGAGGTCGCTGCTGCGGCGGCGCAGCCCCGTGAGGCTGTCGAACTTCTGATCTTTGGCCATGGCCTGGGCCGCGCAGAAATCTGGGGCGTATATTATATATGGTTAATATATATGGTTATTAAATAAATAAATATATATATATATATTTAACCATTAACTATATATATAATAAGCATATTAACCGCAGAAATCAACATATATGGTTAATATACGGTTAATATATGATTACAGTAATACTGGGTAATATAGTTAATAATGGTAATAATGTCCTTTTGGTAAAAATAGGAGGGCCGGTTTTGTATACCATCTATCATCATAGAAACCTGTTGTTTAAGGGGTTTCTTCAAACCCATCTATTAATCAACCAACCAGTGGGAAAAGGACATCTATGATCCCAAAGTCATGGAGTTTTTGGGATGTTAACAACTAGATCACCAGCAAACACTGAGATTTATCGGGATTTATATGTGATTATCTGGATCCACAACCAACAGAAATAACATGGAGACACACCACTACAAATGGAGGATTTCATGGGAAGATCAGAAAAATCCACAAAACATTGGTTTTGAATGGGAAAACTCATCCAATTGTTGGGATATACTTTTTGAGATATGGGTTTTCATGGGAGTATTACTTACATTGGGACTAGATTACGAATATAAAGATGGCAACATCATGGGAATAATAATATGGATACATATGTTGAGGGTATACGTGAAATACCACCTGGTTATTTAACATAACCATGGAAAATCACCATTTTTAATAGGTAAACCATCTATAAATTGGCCATTTTCCATGGCTATGTTAAATAACGAGAGGGTATGTCTAAAACAAATCCAACAACATACCCCATGCCATGACGGTTGAAAGGATTGTTTCCACTGGAGCTATTGGAGGGGCTTGGGGTATGCTCTAAAGTTATGTTCAAATCACCACTATATTCGCAGGTTTTGGAGATAGATTTGATGGCTGGCGGTTTTACTAGCATCTTATAGTATTGTGGGGTTTAGAATGGGAATATCACTGCCTCAAGATCCTCGATGGGAGATAGATCAAGCATGCCATATATAGTTTGATGGGCCAGAAATGCTGGTGCATCCACCAATATAGGTATACCATGCATCTTTTGACCATGCATCTTTTGACCATGGCACATATCAGAATTTACTGCAACATGGTAGCCACATAACTGAATAAGACAAAGAACGTTCCCAACATGTTTCCAGAAACGGATGGTTTTTTGACCATTTCCAAGTGGATATTTATAGGTTAACAGGTGTGCTCTGCCAAAAATAGCAAACCTTGATGTTCTGGCTGGTTGGAGTATTCTTCCATCGAAGGTCTACCCATGATTTCTCGAAAGTCACATTTTTTGGAAGGAATGTCAGCTGAGTTTCAGATGCGCAAGCTGCATACTCTTCTTCTGAGCTTTCAATCGGAAGCGGCGCCAAACCTGACGACTGACAGCAGGAGTCGAGAACAAAATACATGGATCCAGAGATTGCTCACCAATGAACAAATGGGAAGTCTATTCGGCTTAGACCCCATTAAACATTGGATTGCAGTAAATCACCATGTCCCAATTTTCTCCGGGCAGAGTTCCCATCGTTGGCAATTGGAATCTCAATGTTTACTACTGAAATCCTTACATTTGACCCAACCCATTCCCCACAGAAACCCAAACATATATGTTTTTGCACATTGAATCCACAGTTTCGCTTCTGACATCCTCACATTTATCGATTAATTAAACCCCTGTGTTTGTTGGTGAAGTATGGTGGTTTCTCAAAATGTGGAGGGGGCGAAAACATTGGTTTCCATATTGCAAAAAAATCGCAGTTGGAAATGTTGCCCCGCTGTCACACCCCCATATGAGTCAAAATGGATGTTCATCCCTGCCAAATATGGTATAGTTGAAGTGGTTCCATCCCAAGAAATACCAAGGGCCTGGTTGAAAATAGACTATATATATTATACAATATAAATAAATAAATATGCATATATATATATGATTATATGTATATATATAAATGTGTATCTATATAATGATATGTATATATATATATATACATCTCTCTCTCTCTCTCCCCTGCTATCCCTAAACCCACCCCGTTAAATGGTCATAAATCATAACGTTCCCATTCAGTTCGCCATGAAATCACAGGAAAATCCTAAGCCCAAGAAACTTCAAATGAATCCTCCCCAAGAAACCCCTCCAAACCCAAGGAAACCTACAAGAACCCCCATCAACCCCCAAGAAATATACAAGCAATTCCCAGAAAACATGGTCAATCTTTAAATATTCCGCAAAAATCATCTTCTTGTTTGGGCTATTTCTCAATTTAAAGGGAGAAAAAAACAACTAAAGGATTTTCCAGGACCTATCCAGTTGGTTGGGAATGATTATATTCCCATTATATACCCATATCATATATCCACTATATTTCATATTTCCACTGGATAATCCTCATGATATTCCCAACTTGTAAATCACTGGAAAATTGAGATTTCAGCTGGATATTTCCATATATATCCATGATATTTCCACTATATTCCCAACTTGTATAAATGATTAAATGGACATCCACATATCAAAACCAAGCGCTCCAAGGCACCCACAGCTTTGGACATCGCATCCGACGAGAGCAGTCGCGAGCGTCGCACCATGCCCTCCACATCGGTGAAGGCGAAACTTTGACCGCGCCGCGCCTGGTGGTACGAGGCCAACCTCGGTGGAACCAAGGCTTTACGGTAGGAAATGCAACTTGAGAATGGGAATATAATGGGAAGGTATAGGTATATAGGGAATATCATCATTAGGTATATAGGATGGTATAGGTATAGGGTATTCCCATTCCCTCGAAAGGTAGGTGATCAAGGGGAAGCAAGGCCTGGCCTCCCCTTTACTTCGTAAAACTCAAGGTAGCACCACTGGATCTACCTTGAGTTCATGACATAGTTAAGCAGCCACTTATGGTGACTTGGGGATAGTTATGGGACGTTTCTCCCACCACGCCATCAAAGGTGACCACAACAATAGATGGTTAATAAACCCTCATTAGTGGCTGTTAGGGGTTGATAAAGTTTTTCCCAACCACGGAAATCTCATAAAAATTGAAGACCTCAAAGCTTAAAGGACTCAAGCAACCCATGAAGCCCTGGACAATAAATAGCACACAGTGGACATCCCCCCTGAGATGTTAACGTTCAACCACAAAGAAGAGGATCATGTTGAATCATACTAGCAAATCGAACCATCTTTGACACTCCAACCTTGTCTTGGATTTGCTTGAGGCGTCCCTCCCCAAAGAAAACAGATGGATGCTCTGGGAAAATGGGCACCACCTATAAACAGCTTCAACAAATCCAGGAAGAAGTGGGTAAGCTGTCCTTGCCCGGCAGAAGGCTCTTTGTCCAGCAAACCAGGCATGAAGACCTTGAGCCGAAAATCCTGGAAAAAGAACCAGGGTTCACCGGGTTCACCGATTTTTCGGCGAAAAAACATGTAGAAATTGGATGTAAAAAGTTGCATTTGTTTTTCTATCTTTTGTCTGGGTTTCTATAGTTAGTATGCTAGATACCATTGGGCAAATGTATACATTATCTACAAGTCATTATGGTTTATACAACTGCCAGAGATGTGAATGGATGTGAGAGTAAACAAATTTTCCATATATGGAAACAAATCTCCCAGATTAGCCCCTAAAATGAATGAATATATTCAATGCAATACTTAACCTGGGCTTCGTGTCCGTGTGTTTCTGTGTGGGGAGCATCTAATATTATGGAAACGGACACTGCTAGCTGGTTCACATCTTTCAACTCATCCCAAACCATCCCACAATTGGAACCATCATGTCTGGCTCATCTTTCCATTCTTACCGGTTGAATCACGTGTTTTTTTACAATGTTTAATCCAGTGGTAGCTGCAACTGGCTGTAACTCACTAACTCAATATTCTCCATGTTTCTGCCCTCGTTTTTTAGCTTTAACCCATCTTTCGACCATCAAAAAACACGACCTTCCACCCACATTTCCTGGTCTAAACCACTAATAAACCACTAATAAACCACCATGAATCCATTATTTTTTCCAAGATTTTCGCCCTTTTTCTCCACTTTTCCAGGTTTTGACCTCCCCGTGTCCCGTGCGTCCTGCTCTGCCTCGCTGTTGCGCCAGGGCCGGGGCAGCGTGAGCGTGCGGCGCTCCCCGGAGCGGATGAAGCCGACGCAGCTGCCAGCGATGCCGCCCAGGGGCACCCAGCAGACCACGTCGTAGGAAGAGTAGAGGCAGACCTGGAGGCAGACCTAGAGATTACCCTCTCATAAACTAACATAACTATGGAAAATCACCATTTTCAATGGGAAAATCCACTATAAATGGTCATTTTCAATAGCTATGTTAAATTACCAGAGGGTAACCTTATAGTGGAATAATTATATAGTTACCAGACTAGAGATTATATAGTTAACATTATATAAAAACAGCCTAGAGATTGACCTGGAGGATGAAGACGAGATGTTTTTATATAGTTACTGTAATGATAGTTAATGATAGTGGAATAAGTAGAATAGAGTTAAAATATTGAAAACCATCTGGTTTTAGAGGACCAATTATAGTGATAAATATTGGGGTATATATATATATATACAGTGGACCGTTAAGTGGATAGTTAATGATGATGGCAGACCTGGTAGTGGTATATTCCAAGTAGAATGGAACTCTATCCCCAACATTTTTAGTGGGTATCACTATGATGGTATGTGGATGTTGGGGATATATCATTATCACCTAATATTAGGAATAGTTAATGAATTAGTGATATCTTGGGATAAATAAAAAATAAATAATAAACAAATAAAATAAATTAAATAAATAAAAAAGGAATAAATCAATAATTAGTTAATTAAATAAATAAATAATCAATAAATAAATAAATACATATACGTATATCAATATATATGGTCATATAATTGGCAAATCCGGTTCTGTGGTGAGGGAATTGTAGCTGGGTTTCCTTAATCATAAATAGTTAGTGGATAGTTGATGATAGCGGATGGTCAGTGATATATGAATATGTAATTGGCAGACCTGGTGCCATTGTTGGGATACAGGGAGATGGCCACTGTAAAAGTGCTGTATGGGGACAGTGATAAAAAGGGATAGAAAATGGCCATACAAATGGCATACCTATTTCTTTAATGTGTGTGTGTTTTGTTGTTTTGTTTTTGTTTTTTGGGCATATTTTGACATTTGACTAGCCTGAAATGCCAAATGATTCCTAAGGATGAGACCTCTCTCTGCTAGTGGATGGGACTTCTCCATGGATTATGATGTGTATAGGTCATAGAATTCTCTGAACTGTTCTTTGGTGATACTTCACCAGCCTGGAGATTGAGATGATTTCTAAGGATGATTTCCCGTACCATCATCATCACACATAGTGATATAACTATGAATAGTGATATCGCATGGATGGTTAATGATATTGGGATATGGCAGACTTGGTATGTTCTAACAAATCCTTTGGGATGCGGATAATGTGGATGGCATCTTGGGATGCTTAGTGGATGGTCTCGAGGAGGATTTCCCAAAAAAGATCATAGTTTTCAATAGTTAGTGAATGGTTAATTCGTGGTACTGAAATGTATGTATATGTATATATATATATATATTGCTGTACATATATGGTGGTTTCCTAAAAGGGGGCTACCTCTAAATCCGCCATTCTAATAGGAGTTTCCATTGTAAACCAACTAGCTATTGGGGCTCCCCCATGGACACCCCCATGTGGTCATATTGGCAGGGCAAACCTGGCCATGGCATGGCAATTCCGGGACCTGGCCCGTTCATGTTGCTTCTATATGCCATGATATCTATCACTTCCCATCATGGTTGGGAAATATCCCCATGTCTGTTTTGCTTCATATCGTATCCGTTCACACACACATATATACAAATGCAAATACATACATCTTCATCTCCAACAGTCACGCCCCGCCATCTCCGCCATCTCCGCCCTCACCCGCCCCAGTCGGCCTTAATGAGTTTCAAACTCCGGTTGTGCACAATGATTTGGTCTCGCTGGTCACAATCCTCATCCGCCGGAACCAACCAATCGTTCACTTCGAAGACCCATTGACCTCGCAGAATCCACCTGAGGTGAGGTGGAGCTGCACGACGGGTGAAACAAATGGATCCCTTAACACAAAGTAGAAAAATGAGTGCAAGATACAATTCAAACAGATTCAAAGCACAAATCATGGTTTCCCAAATCTTCTAGAAAAATGAATGGTGTTCCAAGATTGGGCTGAGCAAGACGCGCCAAGATCGAATGCAACTGGAATCCTGGAGTCCTCTTCGTTGAATGCTGCAGTAACATGAGGCACTTCTACTGAAGCAAAACACAAGGCTTCAGACTACTGCAATCAGGAATTACAAAATTTTCATGGTAAGATTCAACATCATTCCAAAGGCTCAAACTCACTGCCTTTCATGTTTGGGGCCCTCCCAAATCCGAATGATTCCCAAAGCGCCAGAAACCACCAGCCACAACCCAGACACGCGGGCTACCAACTGCATATGACTTTACAAAAAGGCACTTTTTAAGAAACAAACTTGTGAAGCCAAAATTCTTCATTTCTCAACCTCAAAGAATTACACACAAATATATATATATAAATACATATTTATATAAATATATAATTATACATAGTTAAATCATATTATATACGTATATATATAAATATATATATATAATATATATATATATGTACATATATATATAATTATATGTATCCCATCTGGATGTCATAACCTGCCGTGGGCTTTTTAAGGCAGAGCTGCAGGAGGAATTTCCTCCAACTCCTCCATGACTTCCAGGATGCAGTCGGCTCTGTCTCTCGACCGGTGGCCATCCCCTCGCTTCCGAAGCCGGAAGCTCCCCCTGCGCCGGCGGGAGCAGTTTCTAAGAGTTCATCCCCTTCCGGGCTGCAGGGTCCCAAGTGGTGCTTCCTCTCCTTAGCTGTCTGGTGTCATGCTGAATTTCTCAAAATGCTGAAACACATTCAAAGGCGGTACGAGATGCCATAAGTTGGTTTATAAAGCCAATCGACGACAGTTGTGTCTACCATGAATCCTAGCTAACGAACTGCGGCTGCACCTTGCACAATATATATATATATTAAAATGCCCTCTGGTAATCAAAAGATGGCAATGAAAAATCTACCGTTTAAAGGTGTTTTTCCCCTTAAAAACATATATTTTGGGGGCTTTTCATGGCCATGTTTGCCGGAGAGTAGCGGTTACTGCCTGAGCCAACAGCCATCCTGTTTGAAGACGTCCATGGCCAAAATTGCGATTGCATTGAAGATCCAAGTGCTGATCACTGCGGGAAATTACTCAATCCATCTTAAGTCCTACAAAGTCCTACGAAGTCCTACGAGGCCGTACGAAGTCCTATGAAATCCTACTAATTCATGCTACGTCCCACAAACTCCTACTACATAAGTTCCACTAATTCCTACCAATTCCCAGTGGTCACGTCTGGAAAAAACCATTGTGGTAAGCCTAAATGGGTGGTAGGTGGTATAAACCATCCCCAAATATTAGGTTTATGGCAGCCAGGGCCTCCAAGATTTTTTGTTGACCCATGAGCATGAGTTGGGATTTTTGATCATCAGAATATATCATAATCATAATTGATCATTCATGATCATTCAAACGGATGGTTGGAGTGGATATTCAATAATCATCACATCACCTTCCATAATCATCATATCAATACTTGAAATCCTGGTTTTGTTAAAACTAGCTATGGAAGGAAGTTATGTTAGTTAATCATTGTTAGCAACTACTTCTAACTATGTGTTAACTATGTTCTAACTATGTGTTAACTATGTTTTAAGTATGTATAACTACATATAAATGTTATGTTAAGTTAACATAAGTTAGTAACGTAAATATTTATTTAGCTAACTCAACTTAACTTGCCTAAATATTTAGCAAAGTTAGAAGAGTTAGCTATATCAAAAAAAATGGTTTGGATAAAGTATACTTTTGATCGAGACTGCAACAAACTTTCAAGCAAAATGAAAAACAAATGGGAAAATCCATGATATAATTGATTTATGTGGAAAGGTTCTTTGTGTTTGGCAGCAAGTTTTGATTTTAACAGAATGTTTTTTTTCTTGTTCTTTTTCCTCCAAACAACACTGAAATACATAGGGGCAACACCATGGCATACAAGTCAAAAGCCCATTGGCTGCCCATGCCATGCATTGCCTTTTTCCATTGCTTTGAGACAGCCAAGTTGTTCAAACCAATTGGTGTGCCAAGCTCCTGCCATCCTATACAACTGTTCCAGCCATGGTCTCCATCAAGGAAGCCATTGAAATTCAGTACCAAGAGGAGAAGCCAGTGCTCACCCCACATAGCCTCATTTTGAACCATGAAGGCCAGAAGTATCTCAAATTGAGACCAACATCCCAGCCAATTATTTGCCTTCTCTATGGGAAACAGCCAAAGAGGAATGCCAGTTTGTCACAGCTGGAGCCATTGAGGCAACTCATTGAAGCCAGGAACCAAGAGATCAAGAAAGCCCAAGGTGAAGACCCAGATGACCATGGAAACACAAATTTGTTTGATCAGCAGGATCCAGAGCCACCAGCCAAGAAAAAACAGATGGCTGCACCAAACCCATGTGAGGTGAACCACAGACACCACCAACACCACCAAAAGGACCACCGAAGGCAAAGCAGACACCAATTGGGCAATCCCAATGGGACCAGGCCTATCAACCCAAACCTCCACCCATACCCAGAGCCACTGGATGGAAGAACAAATTGGCATTCTTCACAAAATATTGCCTAGCCCACAATGCCATTGTCCAGTTCTCCCAGGATCTAGAGAGGTCCCAACAATCCATGGAGGGTGTTTCCTCCAAAGGGGTCAGGCCAGCCCAAAGGACTTGGCAGTCCAACGCATACAGCCTTGTCCACCACTACAACCAAGAGAATTGGAACCAGATAGATTCCATGATAGCCACTTGGAGGGCTGAGCCTCAGTTCGACAACCTCGTCCACACAGCAGCAGCCATTGTGGAGAGCCATGTGAGGGACTTGCACCAGCCAGACTGGTGGACCATTCCCAGATGCAAGCATCCAGCAGGCCAAAAAGAAAGCTTGCTGCCAAACGCCTTTTGGTTTCCATGTGCCGATGTTTTTGCCATTTGTAATCCAGCTGTGTGTTTACAGATGGTGTATACCTCTTGCTTTTAACAAAAGCCACATGGCTTCCCATATCATGCCAAACAATATCTGGAAATACCACCACACTAGTGCCAATGCAACTATTCCAATGTTAAGTCTTTCACAAAGACCATGTTTCTTTCAAAGATTTTGAATTCCAAAATTCAAAACCTTCCAGCTATTTGTTGCAATAACAAATTCCAAATTCCAAATTTCAGATGCAAACCATATCCATTGTTGATTTTCTCCTTTTATCATCCACAGCCATTCCAGGCCTTAAACATACAGACAGAGACCCATCCCATCATCACTGCAGCTATGGGAAACTTTCATCAAAGACTTATTTTGTCTATGATATGTTGATAGCATCACAGGCCCACAAACACTTTTTGGCATAAATGACACATGCACCTTATCAAGGTAAACAAACCTTGGGGCAGATGTTTTCCATTGATGCATGTAGTGATGGTTTCCCAGTAGAACATATGGGCACCACCCACAAGCTTTCATCCACAGCCATGTGACCAAGCCCAAGCCAAAGAGAGGATGCCACTGCAATCCTTTGAGCCACCAGCCATGGAAAAGACTTTATGCCACAGAATCCATGCCCATTGGAACGACCCCTTTTTTCCACACAGTGCCACTGGGTTGAAAGCAGGGTTTGCCCCATAGAGGAGGTAGGGTGGGAGCCCAACCTGCGACCTGGTTGGGCCACCCCAAACAAGGAGGGCTGCCATTCAGCCCTCCATCGCTAAATGGCTCATAGCTGCCACCACAGCAATGCACATGTGGGTGCAAACCATTAGGGGTGTCATTTTGGGCATGGCAACCACATTGGTTGACCTGTGGACCATTGATGCCTTGGAGAAGCACCATGCCAAATGCCACATTGGAAGCTCCACCGGCTTCATTCCCATGGACAATATTTTTGTTACCAGTTCCATGCACCAAGAATTATCTTACAAGACAGCAGCCACTGTGCTGCTACCTGCCAAATCGATCGCCAAGCTTGGAAAAAAAGATAGCTGCTGCTCACATGTTCCATGAGTTTCAATACAGCAAAATCACCTTAGCTACCAATGTTCTTTTGAAAGTAAAGCTTCTGAACATGAAAAAACATGTGTGTCCATGGTGCAAGTCAACATATATTAATTTTAACAGCAGCATTTGCGCTAGAAGAAAATCATTTTCATAATGAAGCAGAATGACACAGAAGGCAAGCCGGAAAAAAGTTATACAATGTTAGTAACTAACATAACTTTCATAACTAGTTATAACAAAACCAGGATTTCAAGTATTCCCAATAATCCACAATCATGAAATATCATAAATCATTTCTGTGGATTTCTATGGGATTCCTATGGGATTCCTATGGATTTCTATGGGTTTCTATCGATTTCTCCAGGTATTTTGTTGATCCAAACCGATCAACATACCCAGTACCAGCGCTGCCACGTCTCGTCCTCTTGGCAACACAAGCGCGCATAGACATAGGCCACCAGGGCCAAGGCCACGCCAATGATGCTGAAGACAGCGCAACGACTTTGGGTACTCCACTTCAGGGCAGAATACCTCCACTGGAACCCAAAAAATCAATGGAAAAATTGAATTTTATAATCCCACATAGAGGTAGATTGTTAGTAATTTACGTGTATTTTAAAAAGAATTTAATGTTCTATCTTTTTTGGGTGTGCTATAACCCACGAAAGTTGCATTACTCATGATTAACCCGGCTAGAGAAGGGATTAGGTGAGAATTCAACCACCAAGATTATTTGAAATAATCCCTTTTCCCTATTACTAAACCGTCCCCCCAAATAATCAACACCTGGAGAAGTTTTTAGTATTAGGGTGTATTTAGCATTTGGCTGCGAAACTTCCCCCTAATTTTCAGTTAAAAACCTGAGTATAAAAAAACAAACTTTTCTATTTCAAAATCAGGTAATTTTCCTTTTAAAATCTAATTAAAATATTGCCAAAAATTGGATTTCGAAGCTTTCCCACAATATTATTAAGCTACACATCTTAATATAAAGAACATGTTTGTCGAATCTAAAAGACAGACCCTAAATAAAAACACCCCGGGGTTGACTAGTTTTCAACAGTTTTCATTATTAGGGTGTGAAACCTCAAATGTCCTTCATGTTCAATCTGTTTTCGAAAGATGGTCAATTAAAAATCAAATTGGCCAGTCTGAAATTTCCCAACATTTAACGTGCACCCTAGTTTTTAGCCTTTGGGGTACGTTTAGTAATGGAGGTAGGGATTTAATTCAACCCACCATACCCCAACGAAACTGGAAATTAACTTGGCTAAGTTGCTACTTAAGTTCGCTTGGATAACTGGGATTGAAGTTGTGGATATATCTATGGTTGGGTCGGTGACAAATCAAAAAAAGACGCTGTGGGGCCCCATCTTGCACTGGCGCTGAATTTCAGCTCGCGTTGGTTTTCAGATCACATGGGGGTTGAACCATCCCAAATAAGGGTCACTAAAGGTTCAAGGTGGGTAGTTCATGGTACCTCACATGTTGATCAAGAATTCCTCAAGGTCTTTGAGGCACACACTGAAATATCCAGACAGCAACTCCTATTGTTCGACCCCGGATGGGCTGTCGAATGCGCTGTTAGGTGCTTTCAAAACCACCTGACACATGGTAGGTAACATGATGTATATGACCCAGTTCATTCGAAGCATGGCATAGCGCTTCACATCTTCCCCAAATTACCGCCTCAAAAATAGTCAAAAATTCCACAACACCATTCCCAGCCCTCATCCACAAGCCCATCAACGTTGTATCCCCGTCATGCCATACCAGTTTGGGATGCTCAAATTCCAGTTGTCGCACTTCCACTCCCATGATTATCCCATATATATATATATATTTCCATCATTTCCCATGTATTTCCCATATATTTCCCACATATTTCCATATATGTCCCATATATCTCCATCATTTCCCTACGAATTTTCCCATTCTTCCCATCTCACATGACACAGTTCGCCGCGCAGTTCTCCACTACCGCGCGCCTCATGGCGGCCATGAAGAGCAGCACCAGCAGCGTGCATGTCATCACCATGAAGGCGAAACCGGTCTTGTCCTGGGCCCCCGACTTCCTGAGACGAGACGTCAGTGGACGTCCAGAGATGGGAAAAATTGGGGAAAAATTACATATGCTGATGGTGGTTGAATAAGGTGGTTGAATAAGGTGGTTTTTTGATGGTGAAATTTATGGTTTTCATGCTGTTTTTTTGGTGCTGAACGGTGGTTTTCATGAACATGTTCATGGTTTTCATGGGCTTGTTTGTTGACTCAGAAGGATTTGAGCAGCAAACCATGGGGAGATTCATGGCAATTGATGTGTAGCTGCCAAGTAGCTGCAATGTTATAAGCCATGAATTTACATGGAATGATTGAAAATTAATTGGGGGTCCTTGGTAGCTGGTCAACAACATTTAATAGCACATAATAACCGGCTACAAAGCGGGATTATCCTCCAAAACCCTGCAAGTATGAAAGGATTGTTGCCTGTTGGTCGCGGATGATAAAATTGAGAGATTCGTGCTTTGAAATAGTGGTTTTGAATCTGGAAAATGGAAACTGGAGCTCTTTCATGAAAGAATGTGTATAGAAACTCGAGATGAACGCATGTTCAACATATTTTTATATATCTATTAATGGATCTGGAAGCTTGAAACTGGCGCTATGTTTTTCTCTGTTGAGGCATTTAGATGAGGAAGATTGACTCAGATGGAACCTTACATTGGGGCTCAGAAGAAATGTTGAACGCTTTGAACAGCACATCATATCACCCGGAAACACCTCAAAACCAAGTCTTTCACTTCCCTCTCGGTTTTTATTCCATCTTTCTACTCCCCAAAAACAGGGCCCCATTCCACCCTTAAAAAACAATGGTGATATCCCCCGAAACTTACCGTATTTAGATTCTCTTGGTGCAGCCCCCTATCTTTGGATATCTTTGGTACTTAAACATATTATAATGTTGGTAGAGCAATGCCATAAACCACCCCATTTTTGATGCTGTATACCACCCATAAAAATGGTGATGACTGGGGGATGGTTTATTATGGTTTTAACCACATGAATATATTATATAATATGCTGAATCCAGGCTGCTTCAGGAAGATATCCGAAGATATCCACCGTATTGACTGGTTCACGCTCAACTTTTTGGAAGGCAAATCCCAGGTGCTTCAGATCAATTCCATAGTCTTGCCTCCTTTCAATCCATGTCATGGCATGTTAACCCATATTATTGATTCATAAGCTTCTTTCCATGTCAATCCATAATTAATCCATGTGTAACCCAATGTAGCCCATATCAATCCATAGTGATGAATCCTACCATAAACGGTTTCTATATCAATCCCATATGATCAAGTCCAGATGACTGTAATTCATCCCACGATAAACCTATCCAACTAATCACTTCCATATCAAAACATATTAATCCTAGTAAACAGTCCACAGCAATCAATCCTACCCTACAACAAACCGATATAATCCATAGTAACCCCTAGATTCATATAGTATCCATAAGTCATCCATACTCCTTTTTTAAAATCCCATAGAACCTACCAAAAAACCAGTTCCGCCATCCCACCACCCAGCCCCCATCCCCAAGGAAGGCGCTTGAGGAAGGTCAAGTCGTAGGCGTCGTACAAGATGAAGAGCGCCAGCAGCAGCAGCGCCACCTCGAAGACGACGATGCCCGCGAGGCCGATGACCAGCCCAAGCCTTGGTGGGCCATGGCCATTGTTTTTTTGCCACCAAAAAACGATGGAAAACCCATGGAAACCTATGAAAAACACATGGAAACCTATGAGCAACCAAGGTTTTTAGATGTTTTGATCCTATGGAAACCTATGGAAAGCTGGGTTCTTCATGGTTAAGCCATGGAAATGAATTCAAATGATTTAAACTGGCCATAAATCTTGGGATCAAATTGAATAGAGAATGTTGACCATGTAAAAATATGTAAAAAATGAAGGAGGGGTGATGCCAATGAAACCAAGATTTGAGATACAACCGCCAGCAAATATCACAATGTTCCTCATGACTTTCGCGGCTTGAAACATTGACCTGGAACCTCTTGACCTATCATTGACCATGGCCACAGAACACTTTATTTCCCAACAGCCTTGCAAATCGGGTAATAATATCTCATGGCAAGATGTATCCCACAAACCAGGGCCACCAAGCTGCAGCAAGCCGATGAACATGCCAACCACCATGACCATCAGCAGCCCCAGGAGGATCCTAGGTCCGGGGCGGGGGGGTGAGGGATGCTGTAGCCCTAAATAGGTCATGGTCATGGTAACCACCCAGAAAAAATGGACAAGTATTTGTTCACGATTTTAGTAAGATTTTGCTTTTCGATCGTTTTTTTGGGTTGCTATACTCTTAAGATTGCTACCTCTAGACTGAAACCGTTTTCATGTTTAGCAAAATCCTGGCTTCCGATGCTCATATAATGATCCTTGGGTTGGATGCTGAACCCACCAGGGTTCACCCATCACATTGATTGTGAGCTAGACTGGGTCAAAGCCTCCAGCAGAACCACATTTGATGAGCCTGGAAGCCAACGTTGACCATCTGTCATGTGGTAGCTCCAAATCGCTCCCAGTTCATAGGGAATATGTGAGGGAATATGCGAAGGAATATGGATACATATGGGTACACATAGCTCCGAACCACTCCCTCCATTCCCCGGATAGCCATACCCAACAAATCCCATCAGTGATGATGCCTGTTCAAGGACAGAGCTGGATTCAGAACTCGAGCTGGTCAAACTTAAAAAAACGCCACAGCTAGCGCGTTTTACCCAGGATCCATCGCGGCTCTTCTTCGAAAATGAACTGCCTCGCGTGCGGGCCACAGGTTGGAATCTCCAGCAACATTAGCTGCTTATGGTGGTGCAACGCTGCAACTGAATCCCAGACTTGGTCCAAGAGAAAAGGTCTAGAAATCATCTTGACACCGCAAAGTTGGAAGGTTTGCTGTGAAATGACCCTTAGAAATATCGATGAACCATTGGATATGTACAAGCGGATGAAACCACCATCAACTCCACGAACCAATCCAAATCCTGGTAAAAACCTTGTCCAGTTCATACAAACATGATGATAGCTTATGAATGATATTTAAAGAATATGGCTATCCATGGCTGTCCTATCCCCAGATACTGCAGTTAGGATCCTCACCATTTATACTGAATTATCATTTATCATCCTCCGGGATTCTTGGGCTTTCACTTTCTCATTGCCCAGCCGAAAATCGCCGAAACCACCAAAGCACCGCCACGCCTTCCCCGCACATGATGACTCATGGGTCACTGTACAGCGCGCTGAATTGTTTGACTTTGTCCCGTAGCGTGCCACCCTGATGAGCCAGACCAGGGCCCCCTTGAGGACTCCAAAAGATGGTGTGGGGCAAGTGGATTGGAGACTCTTCGTGGCGAAATTTCAGATTAGATGCTTCAAAGGCAGGGCCAGGAAATCCAGGAGTTAAGTGTTGTTCAAGGAGGCAGCCGATGTGAAAAAACATCAGGAACAATGTGCGAATTCGGCTGCGTCGTTTATTCTCTGCCACTTGTTGGCATTCATTACATTCCCGAACACAGTGCTGGAGCCAAGGCCGAGGTCGAGGTCAAGCACAGCGTTGTAGATATGAGTCTTACTATGAAATTATAAGCGATGCCCTCCGGTAATTCAACAGTTCCATGTGTAACCGGCTAAATCATCGAACTCAACGCCGCTGATACAGTCTGTACAAAGTAGAAAAATGGTTAGGCAGGAAGAAACAACTATGTTTTAATATTAAACAATAGGGTGATATGCCTCATTAACCGTTAAAATCACTAAAGCACGAGGCATTGTTTCCATGTTTGCTATTTTTTCCTAATCATTCTTGTTGTATGGCAGAATCATGTGAAGTCCAATTATACCTCCCCCATCCTCCCCCCGTTGATGGTTCGGGCATCATCTTGTGGTACAAGTTTTGTCTGAAATTGGAGCACCCCTAAATCCTATGTGTCTTCATCACAATTTTCCCTAGTAAAATTTCATAAATGGTGAGCAACTAATTACCCTATTCTCAAATCATCAAACCTATTTTTCATTGGTTTTTTAGAACATGTTAAATCCGCAGCGTCGGATTTTTTGAATGCCTTCCAGTAATTTAACAGGTTGCTGTGGCAACCATGGCCCATGAAAAGTTCGAGACCAAAGGTCATTCCTCGTCACCTGATCTTCATCTTGTTGATTAGCACCAAACAAATAGAAACAATTCAAGATTCCAGTTAGATGGATGTGTTAAAAAATGTAATAAGCAAAATAACTCCCAAGAAATCCCGTTAAACAATAAACATTTTGACATTTTCATGGTGACATGGACATGATCTCCTTGAAGATCCCAGGCCACAGGCCAACACCATCCAACACCCGCAGGAGTCACATCTTCGGAGAAACTTCGAGCGATCCTCCTGGGTGGTGCAGGATGCTCTGGTTTGAAACGAAAAATTGGTTGAAGACTTGGGGACCATCGACTGGCTTGTTCCTTAATATAGAAAACCATCCAATTCTTGACCCATACCCAAATGGATAACCCAAAAATGGGAATACTCATGGGGATTTTCATTATTTTTGAAGATAAATCGGTGTTGTTTCATGGGAAAACACATCAAATCATTGGAATATACCTAACTAGTGATGTAATGAGCAGTAGATAGGGACTTCGTAAGGATTTTGCAAAGGTTTTCTTTCGGGGATTAGAAGTGTGATATAGCTGATATAACCATCAAAGATCGTGACTTACCCTCCGGCAATAGTTTACTGGAGGGCAATTACCAAATATAAACAGACAATATTTGTGAATCGGTGGACGCCAAATGACTAATTTTAGTAGTCATACCTGTTATCGACCACAGTTAATCCAGGAGCAAAATGAACCAATGTTGAGCAACCCTCTCCGCAATTATTTCTGGGTAATCCGATCTTAAAGCTGAATGATCCAAAGATGTACTTGAGTTATATGCCTTTTTCAGACTTTCCACACAACAAAATCGTGCTTCTTAAACCTAGGCCAGCGAAAAAAGCAATGGAAATCCACAGTGCCTTGTCAGATTATTTCTTCGCCAAAAATGCACAAGGAAACTCCGGCAAGAGATCGGCTCGAATATGACCATCTGGGGCCACCATCTTGATTGGAATGATTGAAACCCTCGTTTCACCCCAGAATCTATATGATACATTTCAATACATATCGATACACAGTGCGGCAAAAAAGTTTCATACTGGAAGAACAACAACGTCAAACATATCAGGGAAAACCTTAACAGTGACCCAATCAGAGAAGGTGCTCAATACATCTAAAACTACATCACATTGTAATCATCCTGGAGCAGATAGAATACGTAAATTCAAAAACAAACAACTAAAATGGAAACATCTTTGAAAAATCTATGTTCTATCTACTTGGGGAGATGATGTGGGGGTACGCAATACTGGGAATACTGGGTGGATTCCGGGGGGCTTTCTTAGAACTTGAAAAATGGACTTTTGCCACTTAGAGGCTCTTAGAAGCAGAAGGCCTCTTAGAACCCTTCTAGGCATCCTGGTTTACAGGTGCTAACTTTTGCCATAACCCTGCATGTGAAGGTCTTAGGACTGTTTTCCTGCTTTCTGCTTGTAATTTCTATCTGATGATTCTCTCCACATTGTTTTCCGTGCTTTTTCCTTGACAAATTTGTTTGCGATTGTTCTCCTTCTTTTTTTAACGCAGGTCCAGATCATAGGCACCACATTGGTTGGAACGCATGGCAGCTGAACATGTATAACAGTGAAACAATTAACACTGTCCATGTTACATCATGGTAAGAAAGATGGTTGATGTCAGGCCACATGCTCAACGTTTAACCTTGTATATCCATATATGCCGAATCCACCTCTCACCGCTTAGGAACAAGACACGCAGCCTTACCAAGGAAAAGCGGACCATGAGATGGTTGAAACAATCCCATTTGATGGTTGGAACAATCGACAAGGTGTATTATTTTTTTTGTGCTTTCCCACTTACATACGGTAGAATGAAACCATGGTTTGCCCAAACCACGACAATATTAACAGTGTTTGATGCTACAAGCTGCATAGCCCTGGCAAACATAACAAGAAGTGCATGGCCACCCCTCCAAGCTATTTCAAGATTTTACCGACGGCAAATACTGCATGGTTGATTTTCATCGGTTTTCCTCCAGTCGATTTTTAGGTGTTGGAAACAGCAATCACAATAGGAGCCAAAAGGCTCATCTCATCCCCAAAGCAAAAAAGAACTCATCACATGCAATCACCAGCGCTGCAATGACATCTGTTTTTACACCACCAATTCCCCATTGGTTGTGATCTCAGCATTTGAACTCACCCAGGGCCCCCAGCGCTTGGGGCTTCGGCCCGGCTTCTCCGGGCTCTCGAACGAGGCTTCATCCGATCCGGCATCATTGGTGTCAGCTGCTTTGTCAACGCTCTCCACTTGGCCACCCCTTTCGCAATCCATCTCCTTCGGCACCTCCTTCATGAAGTACTTCAGGATGATTTTACTAATATTGTACATCTGACAGATAACTGATATCTAAAAAAATGCTATTTTACCCTACTGCAAGCTGTTCCCCAACCCCTTCACCATCCCCGCTACGACGGGCCCCGGCCCTGCGCCTCGCTTCACTCAGCTCACGCTCCAAGGTCTCCGAGCGCTCTTCGAGGCCTGGGGGATGGGGGTTAGAGCTGTTGGGGAATGCTTTGGTGAGGAAAACTCTTGGGAATATGTAAATGTATATGTATATATATATATGTATATATATATATATTACTTTTTTTTAAAAAAAAAACTGTGTATTTATGTAATGATTTGTTTGTTCAAATTTAAAATATCACATATACATATCATATCACGTCGCATCACATCCCATCATATCATATCATATCAAATCATATCATATATATAATCAAATGGTAAATATATGATATGTATATGATGATTTGAATGATATGATATATCTATATATATAAATATATGTATATATATACACTTATATATATAAATATATATCATATGAAACAAACACATATGCATATATATATAAAAGTACGATACAAATATACAATACAAAAATAAATAAATATAATATATACATATAATACAAAAATATATCAAATCAAATCAAATCATATCACGTCAAATCATCTCATATAAACAAATACACATCATATCATATCAAATTTAACTAACTAAATAAATAAATAAATATATATATAAATATCATATATATATATGATATATTTGATTAACCACAAAACATGATCTAAACCACATCTGTTTGGTTGTATTTCTTACTTGCAACAGGAATCCACTGCCGCCGTGGCACGTTTCGACTGTTCGGCCGCTTGTCGCAGCTGCGGCAGCTCCTGGCGCAGCTGCTGCAGCTCGCGCTGAGCCAACGTCAGCTGGCCTGTGACCTGCGATGCGCAACCGGTGTGTTGTAAATAACACAAGAAATGGGTTTCCATTAAGGTAAACCCATGTAAAAACCATAGAAAATTCCATGTAATAGATTCAACTCGATATATATCTTGATATAAATTCAATATCTGGATTTTCTATTCAAGTAGATTTTTCCGCACATATCATCATGTGGGATGACTCTCAGCGGTCATCCGTGGGTAAGCCATTCCGGAAAGCATACGGCTGTCGCTTCACCGATCATTTGCACAATAGGTATATAGTGAGATTCGGAAAACACAAATTGCTGCACGTAAAAAAATCGTACAAATGTGGTTACATACCAACATGGGCGTGTTCATGATATAAACACACGGCATTATATAACATATAGTATCAATCTATTTAAATCAATAAGTTTGGAATCGTATTATGAACACATGTTATGCTACATTCATATATCCTGTCATCATCTTCTTCATCTTCATCATTTGTAAATATATAAATATCATGTTACAATTAAAAACACATGTTATACTATATCATCTATATATACTTTTTTGCTGATATATCCTATGTTAAAAACTACAATACATACATATACATGTATATAATATTTCTATGTTTATAACAAAAAGTGTATTCTGAATATCCTCTGGATCCCCACCTCGTTCAGCGCGGATTGGAGGCCCGTCACCTCATCCATGGAGCTTCGTAGCCTGCAAGCCCCACACTTTGAGAAAGGTGTCTTTTTGGGGAGCCCTAATTCTACAAAACTATCTAAATATACGTACGCACACATATATATATATATATGTGTGTGTGTGCGTGTATGTATATATATATATATGCACACACACATATATATATACAAACAATACACTATCTATCTATCTATCTATCTAATCTATCTATATGTAAATATTTGACACTATTTATAATGCAGACTCACCCATGATCTTGGTCTTTGAGAACTTTAAATCTTGTTTCGAGTGCGGGCCTTTTCATTAATCAAATGAGGACATCACCGAAGTTCTCCGAAGCCAAAATGTTCCATGTGATGGTCCAGAACTGTGTTTTTTGGTGCTTTGAATTCCGAATTGCCAGCGAGAGAGAGGAGAGAATCAGAGAGGGAGAGCACCCGCTTTCTGTAATTGGGGCGCACGGGGGCACAATCGGCAAACAAATAAGCACAGCTTCTAAAAAAGTTTCTTTTCCCACCTGAAATCTGAACCATTCTGAACCTTTGAAAATGAAGAACAAAAACACAAGGACTTCAATTTTTTAATATGGTTTTTGGATGTGTTTACCCTTCATCGCTGGTACATACCAGCGCCAGCAGGGTCCCCAACTTCTGCTCGATGCCACTCTCCATGCTCAGCAAAGCCTTGGTGGGCAGCTGGGATGTCCGTCCTACCCTCCGGGAATCAAACGTGGCAATGGACAATTGATTAAGATTGCCTATTTAAATATGTTTGTTTTCCCGAGCAAAATCCATCCATAAGGGCTTTTCTGTTGCCACGTTTGACTACTTGAGGGTAACGGGTACGCCGCCATGGAGGATGCCACCAAGAAATTATGGGTGGCAGGTGGTAAAACATCAACGGTGATTGTATCTCTCCCAACCATGCAGAAAAGTAGATTTCTTCACCCCAAACAGGCCGAACACCAAATTCCAACAAATACCATCGAAAACATATTGCGAACATCCCTAGGAATCTTAGAAGGTGGCCACCGCGGAGTTTCCCATTCCCAATTGCTGTCTCAACTTCTTAGATCAGGTTTCTTCTAAAACAGGCAAAGAGAACTAGAGAACGATTACTTTTGGAAGACTGATGCATGCTTCAGAATGGGCATGAAAGTTTGCTTCAAAAGCCAAAGCCATCGGAATCTTTCTCCAAGGCCCTGACGTCGACCAGAGCCTTTGCCTTCAACCTCTGATCCGACAGGGCGTTTTTCAACGGTCCAATCATCGCCTGTAAGTCCTGAATTCGGAGAGGGATGCAGGGTGTGATGCAGGCCTGTTGAAATGAGGAAGATGTAGGAAGGGATCTAGATTCAGAAATCTCTCTCGATGACGCTGGATGATGTTGGTCATAACCTTGGCGTCCGAGTGTTAAATCAACACAGGGTTGTAACTACGGGTAGAAACTGGTTTGAACAATTTTGAACCCCATAAGCGGCAGAAAGGCAGATGATTTCAGATATAGTTAGCCCATAGGCCCATACATTCCCACCACGGATCTTCCAGGCGTGTCTGAAAATAACAGGTCCAATTCTTGAGTGACCACTGATCATGCGAAGTAATAAGCGCTCCACAAAAGACTTCAAAACATATCATCTCGCCTCCCTAAGATGAAACAAAAAATACGCTGGAGATGCAAATCTTAGCATGTTTTAGTGTTGGGTTTCTTCATTTTGGGATCACTTCTTTGAGATATATTTGCGGGTATTCATCCAATATTTACAGGGGTTGACATATTGAAACCACCAGCCATATTGTTCCAAAGCTCTTGGATCTTGTCTTTGAAGTCATACTTCCCGGCGGTGGGTTTCAATCGCAACACCTCGGGGCAGCTGTTGCTCGTGCATCCTCAACCATCTAAAGATATCATTTTGTCATGTCCAAAAAACGGATGCTACACCAAAAATCAGATGCTTGGGAAACTCTTAGTAGCCCCTTGGCTCCCCATTTGGTGATATTTAAGAGAAAGTGGACGCCCTAGCTCCTTAGCTCCCTCCGACTACTGAAAAGTTATGGGAAAGTGGTGGCAAACCATACGTTTTTGTTTTCCATCGCCTTCTCAAGGAGTTCAGAATAAGCTTTTTTGGGTTGCGCTGTCAGGCGAACCTATCTGTACCATCCCAAAACTAACATAGGGACCCCGCCATGAGTCGGGGGTTGGGAGACTCTAAAAAATCAGCTGTTCTCAGAGTCAAGCTGTTAATTCGGAAACTGAAATTTGTCGAATTATATTCCCAAATTCCCCAACACCAACCCTTCACTAGCCAAAATATTCTCAATTAGATTGCAGCCAATTTCAAGAAATTAGCCAAGCTGTTCAACTTTGGGGATGGTACTTAATGTGGTAAACCGAACGCCATATAATACCACCCCCAAGCTCGAACTTATGAAATTGGATAGACCCCAAGCCAATGAGATGATGCAAACTGACCCTCAAATGGTTGGCGAACGAGATGGTTTTTTATTTGGTTTACCACCTTCTATGAAATGCTTAATGGGATAGAATTTGATATAACTATGAAAAGTGGGACTTCAGTGAGCTAGCTATCAAAATTAAGATGTAATTACTTGGATTTGCTTAAGGACCCCGCACAAATAAAACATGCTCTGTATAGATTCCCCTAAGTAGTGGATGTCCCATTGGGAACAGAAACCAAATCATCCACTCAGCAAATCACAAGGATTATGGAGATTTAAGAATCAAACACGGTGATATATTTCGTTTTCCATGAGTTTCCCCAGTGCCCAAACATTGGTCCACCACATGATACGAATTCCAGCGCAGGCCGAGTGGCCGGCAAAACTTCATCTGGATCGCCCAAGGTGCGGCGCAGCAGTGTCTGCAGATCCAGCACCGGCACGCGTTCGGTGGGCGTGGCGTGGGGCTCTGGGGGACCGGAGCCCACTGGAGCCACCTGGCGCCAGTGCCAGGGTGGATGATCCTTGGGAGGTGGGAATGGTTCTCATAACATACAAAGGACCCCGTGTAACTCTATATCTCACTCGGACTTGGGAGGTTGGATGATAAATGTCGATTATTGCCGATTAATTAATCCGAATGAGTTGGTTTTGCGACCCTTGATATCTCAGTTGTTGAAAGATTGAAACCAATTGAACAAGTTACATTGGTTTACCAGGACTTAAGACCCCGGGAACTATAGGTTCGGAGGGTATCCAACAATTTGGAATCAATCAATTCTGCTACGGTATGCCAGTACTGATGCCCATCGGTATTGTTGAAGATCTGCCTCGTTTTGTTGGTTGTGATGCAACCCGCCATATCTAAAAAAACATCAGCCACAAACCATTGCAACATATGTTCAGGATCTGAGTTGTGAACCAAACATGCTCTTAGTTCGCTGATGAGTAGCCCCATATTTGCTGGTGAGTATCCTCATGTGATGGGTTGACTTCAACTCATCTCGTCAGTTCCTCATTATTTTGGTCAACGTCCCAGGCTTACTGGATGTAACTCTTCAAGACTGAGCCAAAACCTCCTTTTTGGTAATTCAGCCCCCATGCCGGCTACTTAAGTCTCTGCATAGCTCCTCACCCCCATCCCGTATCATCCCCTTTGCTCTCACCGTCTTCACCATCTTGGGTTTGAAACCAAAACGCGCCCGGTCATCATCTGTGGGTCGGTCCTGGTGGCTGGTCTTTGTGGATGGGCGAGGTCAAGCCCCACAAACAATTATGGAAAATTATGGAAACCAATGGAAAACATAGTTTGTTTTAAGTTATCATAACTTAGGCTTGGATTTGATTTGGGGTAACACCAGGTTGTTCATAATTAGTGGTTTTGATGTTTGTAAACTATAAGGAACGTTTTCCATGAAAAACGATGGTTACCTAAAACATTTCATTGGTTAATTTTAAGTTAATGGTTGTCACAATGGTTGTGGGTGATCTACCAAAGAACCCTATGTATACTGAGTGGCTATGATATGTAGTAAAACCACATCACGGTCGATCAACTATAGTATCACAGGTTTTGGAGGGGTGCTTTACGACAGTAAAGGTCAAGCCCATGTTTTTTGTTCAGCCCTGGGCTCCAAAATCTTGGGAGGGTACCAAATTTGTGGCGAATTGAACAGCTTTTTTAGTGGCAGCCGCAAATTTTCAAATCAACTTGGTGTATCAACCCGGGGTTGACAACACCTGGAGAAGGAGCCTAATGCCGCCATGTTTGAACTGTTTCAGTGGTAGTGCCTCACACGTTTCGATGATGCATAAGGGGCGGGGAGTTACGAATGAGTCATGATTACCTCAACACCAAAAGTTTTTGAGAGCTCAAGGCCAATAATACAGCATGTAATCTTCGCCACTTGAACCCCCCAAGGAAAACTAGAACACGGATGGCCCGAGAGCGTAGAGGAGCAGGGTCTTCTCTTGTTAGTATGGAGACACAATTTTAGAAACAATATATGAAAGATGTGTTATAGGCAGTCGAGAAGAGGAGTATCAAGACAAAATAGTGAGAAGTGCAAGACAATAGTTTGCATCGCAAACACTTTTACACACAGACGCTTTTACACACAAAAGCTTTTACAAACAGAAGCTTTTACACACAGAAGCTTTTACACAGACGCTTTTACACACAAAGCTTTTACCCACAGAAGCTTTTACATACAGAAGCTTTTACATACAGAAGCTTTTGCACACAGACGCTTTTACACAGATACTTTTTTACACACAGACACGTTTACACACAGACACTTTTACACACAGACCCTTTTACACACAGGAGCTGCTTTTACACACAAACGCTTGTACACACACAGAAGCTTTTACACATAGACGCTTTTACACACAGGCACTTTTACACAAACACTTTTACACACAAACACTTTTACACACAGAAGCTTTTACACACAAACACTTTTACACAGAAACACTTTTACACACAAACATCTTCACACAGAAACACTCTTACACACAAACCCTTTTACACAGAGACACTTTTACACACAAAAGCTTTTACACACAAACACTTTTACACAGATGCACTTGTACACACAAACACTTTTACAAACAAACATCTTTCCACCGAAACACTCCGACACACAAACACGTTTACACACAAACACTTTTACACACAGAAGCTTTTACACACAGACACTTCTACACAGATGCACTTCTACACACATACACTTTTACACACAAACATCTTCACACAGAAACACTCTTACACACAAACCCTTTTACACAGAGACACTTTTACACACAAAAGCTTTTACACACAAACACTTTTACACAGATGCACTTGTACACACAAACACTTTTACACACAAACACCTTTCCACCGAAACACTCCGACACACAAACACGTTTACACACAAACACTTTTACACACAGAAGCTTTTACACACAAACACGTTTAAACAGATGCACTTGTACACACAAACACTTTTACACACAAACACCTTTCCACCGAAACACTCCGACACACAAACACGTTTACACACAAACACTTTTACACACAGAAGCTTTTACACACAAACACGTTTAAACAGATGCAATTTTACATGCAATCACTTTTACACACAAACATCTTTACACAGAAACACTCGTACACACAAACCCGTTTACACACAAAGATTTTTACACACAGAAGGTTTTACACACAACACTTTTACACAGACGCACTTGTACACACAAACACTTTTACACACAAACATCTTTACACAGAAACGCTCGTACACACAAACCCCTTTTCCTGCGAAAGGATTACTACAGCACACGATAAATCGCAATTTTACCTCAGTTTTTGCCGATCGACCCTCATTTCGTGCGAAAGGGTTGCTCCAGGACAAGTAAAATCGCAATTTTACCTCAGTTTTTGCCGATCGACCCTCGTTTCGTGCGAAAGGGTTGCTCCAGGACAACTAAAATCGCAATTTTACCTCAGTTTTTGCCGCTCGACCCTCATTTCGTGCGAAAGGGTTGCTCCGGGACAAGTCAAATCGCAATTTTACCTCAGTTTTTGTCGATCGACCCTCATTTCGTGCGAAAGGGTTGCTCCGGGACAAGTCAAATCGCAATTTTACCTCAGTTTTTGCCGATCGACCCTCATTTCGTGCGAAAACGTTGCGTTTCGTGCCGTCTCGTTTGCACTGCCCCTGCCCCCGCCTTCAGAAGAGAAATAGAAAAGAAGGAGAGAGCAAGAGGGCAAGAGGGCAAGAGGAGAAGATGTGAAGATGTGAGGATGTGAAGATGAGAAGATGTGAGAAGATGTGAGAAGATGTGAAGATGAGAAGATGAGGAGAAGATGTGAGGATGAGAAGATGTGAAGATGAGAAGATGTGAAGATGAGAAGATGTGAAGATGTGAAGATGTGAAGATGAGAAGATGTGAAGATGAGAAGATGTGAAGATGAGAAGATGTGAAGATGAGAGGATGTGAAGATGAGAGGATGTGAAGATGAGAGGATGTAAAGATGAGAAGATGTGAAGATGAGAGGATGTGAAGATGAGAGGGTGTGAAGATGAGAAGATGTGAAGATGAGAAGATGTGAAGATGAGAAGATGTGAAGATGTGAAAAGATGTGAAGATGAGAGGATGTGAAGATGAGAAGATGTGAAGATGAGAAGATGTGAAGATGAGAGGATGTGAAGATGAGAAGATGTGAAGATGAGAAGATGTGAAGATGAGAAGATGTGAAGATGAGAACATGTTTTACAGACCCCCACTATTGGAAGAACCCTGCGCTCAGACGCTCTCGGGAAAAACAGGTCTCTTGGTCGACCTCTGTGGGTAAGCAGGGCCCACGCAGTGAGACTGTGTGCAAATTGCAGGTCCAAACAAAGTGCTAGAAAACTCTTCTTCCAAACTTATCTTTCTGAAGGATTTCATGGCAGCCGGCTCCTGAATGTTGCCCGGATTGACCGGCAAATTTTCATCATTCTCAGGCCTTAGCGGTCCCCAGTGACCGGCGATGACCGTGGCCCCGCCAAAGAATCAACAAACTTCCCTGGCGAAATTCATGCAGTAACAAATTATGTTGATACCCTCTGCTAAAATATCACCATCTTTAATAAGTAAACCAACTATAAATGGACCATTTTCAATAGCTATGTTAAATTACCAGAGGATATACTTCGGCATTTCACTACTTCAGCTCAAAGAGATTTTGATAAGAAATGGGCGGCACTCAAAGTTCAAAGCGCTATCGTCAAGCTCTTTGGATCCATTATCTTGGAACGCAAAGTCCAACAAATCAAACATCCCAGGGTGTTGTGGTCAATCTTCCAGCCATTGCTATCCTAAAGAATTGCAGGAGATTCCAGGTATTTGGGCAAACTGCACCTGGTCAATTTAGATCTTCCCAGTTTTAATTTTAGACTAATTAGTTTGATTTCACCGGTTTGACCGCACAAGAAGGGGCAACTTAAAGTGCAAAATCATTTTCCAAACAAAACTTCTTAGAGGAACATATACATGCAAATGAACTTTGATAAACTTGTGTATCGTGCATATATCCAAATATAGGGATATATATATATATATCATATGAACGTCACATACACACACATTTATTTATGGGCTGCAATTTTTTTTGGGATTTTTTTCCCGTTTTTTTTTGGGATTTTTTTCCCGTTTTGTGGGGTTTGATGGTTTTGATTGGTATTTGCAGCGTTTTGCAGCTAAGCTCTCTGATTTGCATGGTGTTGTTGTTGTTGTTGTTGTGGTTGGATGGATGGATGGAAGGATGGATGGTTGGTGGTTGGTTGGTTGGTTGGTTGGTTCCTTGCTTGGTTGCTTGGTTGCTTGGTTGGTTGGTTGGTTGGTTGGTTCTTGCTTGCTTGGTTGGTTGGTTGGTTGGTGTTGGTTGGTTGTGGTTGTTGTTGTGGTTGGTGGTTGTTGTGGTTGTGGTTGTGGTTGTGGTTGTGGTTGTGGTGGTGGTGGTGGTTGTTGTTGTTGTTGTTGTTGTTCTTGTTGTTCTTGTTGTTGTTGTTGTTGTGGTTGTTGGTTGTTGGTTGTTGGTTGTTGTTGTTGTTGGTGGTGGTGGTGGTGGTGGTTGTTGGTGGTGGTGGTGTTGTGGTTGTTGTGGTTGTGGTTGTTGTTGTGGTTGTTGGTTGTTGGTTGTTGGTTGTTGTTGTTGTTGGTGGTGGTGGTGGTTGTTGGTGGTGGTGGTTGTTGTTGTGGTTGGTTGGTGTTGTTGGTTGTTGTTGCTGTTCCTTCCTTCCTTCCTTCCTTCCTTCCTTGATCCTTCCTTCCTCCACCTTCCTTCCACCAGAAAACGGGAAAAAAAACCAAAAAAAAAACGGGAAAAAATCCCCAAAAAAATAGCCCTCCTTTATTTATACACACATCCACCTATACTTGGCTTTGCTTAAGGACACCCCGGAAAAATATTTCCTAGTTGTAGTGGATTTCCGATTTGGACAGTCAACCGAATCATTGACTCAGCGAATCAAGGACTATGGAGACTTTACCATGAATCATGGGGATTTAGCTGATTTAACTAGGTTAGGAAGTTAAATGACTTCCATTTTGGCTAGAGACCAAAAGAAGTCAATACATTCATCCATATCTCCCATATTTTACTCAAACTACCTGAGGCGCCCAACTCCGACCTCACTTCACGTAGCACCCCGCGGCCCGCCATCGTGTGCGAAATCGTGCGTCAACGCTGAGCAGCAGCGGAGTTCGCAGATTCGGTGGAGGGCTGAGGTTGGGTTCGTGCGTATGCTTCAAGGCTAGGAACCAGAAATCTAATGATTCATTATCGGTATATATATAATATATATATATATATGTATGTTTGTATGTGTATGTATAGTATGTTATTTTCCATTGGTTTCGATTGGGGAAAGCAATTTTGGGGCATACATTCCTTAATTCAAGAACACATGTCCATGGGTATCATGGGTGAAAAGCCTCATACCCTGGCATCCCAACAATGACGAGACCAAAAGTTGAATGCTCATTAGGTTGATGACATGACCATCCCAACAGTTTGGTTATTTACCAGCAAGTTTGACCACCTCACCTGCAATATATTTTCGACCATTGTCGAGGCATCAATCTCGAGTGAAACTGGATGAACTTAAATGGTTTCGATTGCTGTGTGCGACGTCATGAAATCGTCAAACTCTGCGACATCGAGCTCTTGGAACTCGTAGCCACAACTTTCTAAGTAGGCTACCTCTGCAGTCTGGGATGCTCCAAGGCCGCTATTTTTGCGGGCCTCTTTGACAGAAGTCTCGTTTGAGAGTTCCTGCCACGACAATTTCCCACATCCGACCATGCCTTCAAAATAAAACACATGCAGCGCTTGGCCCAGGACCACTGCTTGCTCCACGTTAGCTTTCCAATCGTGGAACCAATGGCAGCCCCAAGGAGCACGGCCACAATTCTCTTCACACTTCATCTTTGCAGCCGTCTTTGCGGCCTCTTTGTCTTCATGCCATTGTTGGTCACTCTGACCCTCTCTCTGAAGGAAGATTTGACCCATGGCAGCAGCATCGCTCTCTTTGAAACGAAGGTCCTCTGTGCTCATGGACCCTGGATCTTCCACTATGCTGATGTACGTCGCTGCCGGTAGCTGGCCATAGAGCGCTTTGCACCAGCAATGGCCCGGTTCCTCAGGGTTGTCCTCGTGCACTCCCAAACCAGAATCTCGATGGGTCAAGAATACGCAAGCCAGGCTACACGCACGAGAACGTACTTCCACCATCCGCACTGCAGCATCCCACTCCACGGTCACAACTAGACTTTGCCTTCAACTATTCACAACGTCAATCGTTGACGTTCCTACCATAAAACTGGTCAATGCTACTCACATGGATGGACACATGTCCCTTATAGATCAGATCATTCTCGTTGTGGTTTCTGGACATTGTCGACCAAGTTTGAAGCAGCGGCCTGTGCCAGAAAACATGGAACCTTTGATACTCTCAGAAGGACGGGGCAAGAGGTTGATCTCTTCGGTAAAGCTGAATGAATGGGTCTGCCTTGAGCTAGAGTCAGCTAGAGTACCCCCCGACTGGATGGCCATGTACCAATTATCAGCAAAGATTTTGTGTATGCAAAACTCGACCTTGAGAATCACAATTTCAAACAAAGCCTCACATGGACCTGGACGCACGTCTTCCAACTTTATTCCAGGAGCACTGAAAATTTTCTACAAGCGTTTCATCATGTGACCAAGATCTGCACCGTCGTTGAGCTACATGCAGCACGGTCAGGATGCACAACATAATCTGAATGAGTATGCCACTATGTCAATCTCAAAATGGGGTACGGTAAATTACCTCCAAATTACTTTCTTCGAGTGATCCCCAACCTGAAACACTATTCTGACATAGTTTCTGCTAGACATTTTTTCTGACGTTCTATCTGACATTCTTTCTGGCATATACTTTGGCATTCTATCTGGCACCCATTCTGCCATACTTTCTGGCATGTATTCTGGAATTGTTTCTGGCATTCTATCTGACATTCTCTCTGGCGTCTGGCTGAGGTCCGGCAATGCCCACTGAGATCTGGAGGCCGCGGTTGGGGTCCAGCAGTGCCCGCTGAGATCTGGCGCTCGCGGTTGAGGTCCTGGAATGCCCACAGAGATCTGGAGCATGGCCGGGTCCTAGGATACCCCCTACTGTTCATTACCCCCTTGGAATATTTTGAAAATATTCCGCCATAGTCGAAGGTTGTTCTGGAAAAATATTCTGATACGTTGTCCACGTATGGAATAATTTTCAGCAATTTTGCTTCCAAACATACTCTGGCAATATGTGAGCCTCATGCTGGAAAATATTCCAGGTATATGCCGAGGGCATCTAAGCTGAACATTGCTGAAAATGATGGTGTTTGGCACCAGTCGTTCTGCACATGTCTGTATCGCCCTGGGACAGATGCATCGTTTTTTTCCCCATGGAGGCGCCATCCCACACTGCATCCTACCCGACACATCCCTAAACTACATCAAGAACCTTTGGAAATCTTTCTTGGGGAAATCCCTCAAGCTGGGACTATACCTGGTTCTCTCCTGGAATTGTTACCAACCTTTCATTTTTCACCCTGTTTCTTCCATGTTCTTTCATGTCCTTCCAAAGAACTCCCGATGGCAACCTATGGCCTTGCGTGGGAGGGGGTAAGAAAGGGTAAGAAGCGCTTGGTTGTCATATGTGTTGTCATATGTTTTGTCATGTTTTGTCCGATTTTTGGACTTGGCTTGTGGATGCTGCCCGCTTTTTTTGAAGAGTTCCGGACATCTCCAATACCCCTAGAATAATTTCTCCCTTGGGGAAATCCCACAGAATAGCATTCAACTTGGCTCTCTCTTGGAAGTGTTCCCAACCTTTCATTTTTCCCTCTATTTCTTCCATCTTCTTTTCAGCAAGAAGCATTTGGTTCTGATTGTTTTTCTCATGTTTTGTCCTGTTTCTGGACTGGTTGGGTGGTTGCAGCAGCGGCTTTTTTATTCGAAGGGTTTCCGGACATCTCACATACCCCTAGAATAATTTCTTCCCTGAAGGAAACCCCACAAAATGGAATTCAACATGGCTCTTTTCTGGAAGTGGCCCCAACATGTCCCAACCTTTCACTGTTCCCTCTATTTCTTCCATCTTCTTTTCAGCAAGAAGCATTTGGTCGTGATTGTTTTTTTCATGTTTTGTCCTGTTTCTGTGCTGGTTGGGTGGTTGCAGCAGCTACTATTTTATTCGAAGGGTTCCAGACATCTCATATACCCGTAGAATAATTTCTTCCCTGGTGAACAAATGCCATAGAATGGCAGTCAACATGGCTCTTTCCTGGGAATGACCCAGCATGTCCCAACCTTTCATTTTTCCATCTATTTCTTCCATCTTCTTTTCAGCGAGAAGCATTTGGTTGTGATTGTTTTTTGAATGTTTTGTCCTGTTTCTGGGCTGGTTGGGTGGTTGTGGCAGCTACTTTCTTATTCGAAGGGTTTCGGACATCTCACATACCCTAGAATAATTTCTTCCCTGGTGGAAATCCCGCAGAGTGGCATTCAACATGGCTCTTTCCTGGAAGTGGCCCCAACATGTCCCAACCTTTCATGTTTCCCTCTATTGTTTTTTTCATGTTTTGTCCTGTTTCTGGGCTGGTTGGGTGGTTGCGGCAACTTCTTTTTTATTCGAAGGGTTTCCGGACATCTCACATACACCTAGAATAATTTCTTCCCTGATGGAAACCCCACAACATGGAATTCAACATGGCTCTTTCCTGGAAGTGGCCACAACATGTCCCAACCTTTCATTTTTCCCTCTATTTCTTCCATCTTCTTTTCAGCAAGAAGCATTTGGTTCTGATTGTTTTTTTCATGTTTTGTCCTGTTTCTGTGCTGGTTGGGTGGTTGCAGCAGCTACTTTTTTATTCGAAGGGTTCCAGACATCTCACATACCCCTAGAATAATTTCTTCCCTGATGGAAACCCCACAAAATGGAATTCAACATGGCTCTTTCCTGGAAGTGGCCCCAACATGTCCCAACCTTTCACTGTTCCCTCTATTTCTTCCATCTTCTTTTCAGCAAGAAGCATTTGGTCGTGATTGTTTTTTTCATGTTTTGTCCTGTTTCTGGGCTGGTTGGGCGGTTGCGGCAGCTACTTTTTTATTCGAAAGGTTCCCGGACATCTCACATACCCCTAGAATAATTTCTTCCCTGGTGAACAAATGCCATAGAATGGCAGTCAACATGGCTCTTTCCTGGGAATGACCCAGCATGTCCCAACCTTTCATTTTTCCATCTATTTCTTCCATCTTCTTTTCAGCGAGAAGCATTTGGTTGTGATTGTTTTTTTCATGTTTTGTCCTGTTTCTGGGCTGGTTGGGTGGTTGTGGCAGCTACTTTTTTATTCGAAGGGTTTCGGACATATACCCTAGAATAATTTCTTCCCTGGTGGAAACCCCGCAGAGTGGCATTCAACATGGCTCTTTCCTGGAAGTGGCCCCAACATGTCCCAACCTTTCATGTTTCCCTCTATTGTTTTTCATGTTTTTTATTCGAAGGGTTCCCGGACATCTCACATACCCCTAGAATAATTTCTTCCCTGAAGGAAACCCCACAAAATGGAATTCAACATGGCTCTTTTCTGGAAGTGGCCCCAACATGTCCCAACCTTTCACTGTTCCCTCTATTTCTTCCATCTTCTTTTCAGCAAGAAGCATTTGGTCGTGATTGTTTTTTTCATGTTTTGCCATGTTTCTGTGCTGGTTGGGTGGTTGTGGCAGCTACTTTTTTATTCGAAGGGTTCCAGACATCTCACATACCCCTAGAATAATTTCTTCCCTGGTGGAAACCCCACAGAATGGCATTCAACATGGCTCTTTCCTGGAAGTGGCCCCAACATGTCCCAACCTTTCACTGTTCCCTCTATTTCTTCCATCTTCTTTTCAGCAAGAAGCATTTGGTCGTGATTGTTTTTTTCATGTTTTGCCATGTTTCTGTGCTGGTTGGGTGGTTGTGGCAGCTACTTTTTTATTCGAAGGGTTCCAGACATCTCACATACCCCTAGAATAATTTCTTCCCTGGTGGAAACCCCACAGAATGGCATTCAACATGGCTCTTTCCTGGAAGTGGCCCCAACATGTCCCAACCTTTCACTGTTCCCTCTATTTCTTCCATCTTCTTTTCAGCAAGAAGCATTTG